AGTTCTATTACTTTAGTATTCGCAGTTGCATTATCTAATGTTATGGCCATTATTCTATCTCTTAAACTATATTCAACAATAACAGATAAAATTGTGTTATATATTAAATTGGCAGTATGTGATCCTATAACACATTTGAAACCTAAGATTCTCTTATCCAAATCAAAACCTTTATAATAATGTCCGATTACAACTAAATAATCCTTGTTGGCAACGGCGGACCAAATATCCGCCGTTAATGCAACGCAACTGCTAGTAGAGTGTAGAAGGTTAATTAATGCTTCCTTTTCTTGTTTATATAATTTTAATGCATCTTTCATAAGAGTAGTTCTAGAAAAAAATAGTGCATTAGGATTATGTACAATTTTAATATAACGCTGCCAATTTCTTTGTTCAGTAAAACTTAGTGGTTGATCTAATGTGGCTATTAATCGTGCCATTTCCATACGATCAACTTGCGGATCGTATTTCCACGTGCTTAGACCGCCGGTTTGGCGGTCAAACGATAATTGTGTTTGGCGGAGTTGATCTCCGCCTCCTTGCTTTTGAAGACACTTTTCAGAGTGCCTTCTTAAGTGTGTAGTGCCGTGAATAGTGTTACCTTGTAATTTCTCACCACAATATTTACATTGAGCTACGTATTTAATGTTACCGTTATTGTCGACGTCCTCGAATGTGTTGAAGTGCTCCCAAACTGCTGAGGTGCGCTTGCATTTCTTCTTAGAAGTTGCAACACTTGCACTAGCACTACCGCTTGTCTCTCCTCCACGGCCACTTGTGCCACCACCATTGCCTCCCCGACCTCTAGTACGTCCACCAGTGGTCGGATTCGCAGTTTGATCAGCAACTCTTTCATAGTTTGCGATTCCTGCGATTGAAAAACATTAGGAAATTGCCCTTCTTCGATGTTGAATTGGGCATCAACGGGAATATCACCACCATAACCAGAAGAAGCCATTATGAAAAATAAAAGAGATTGAGAGCGCTTTGAGAGAGAAGCGAGATTAAGAGAGAATTATAGAGATTAAGAGAAATTGAGAGAGATTAAGAGAAATTGAGAGAGATTAAGAGAAATTGAGAGAGAATGAGAATTTTGGGGTGAGGAAAATGGTTGGGGGGAGGGGAGGTATTTATAGGAAAATTTTTGGGTTGAAAAAAAAAAAATTTCCCCCAAAAATTCGGGTCCAACGGCTACAAAATTTTCGGGCAGTTCGGGCAACGGCACAAAATCCGACCGTTGGGTTCAAAAATTTGGGCAAAATTCGAGTTCGGGTTCAGGTTCGGGCATAAGACCGTTTTTTTTCAAAATTCGGGCATTTTTCGGGCTAACGGTAAAAAAAAATCGAGCATTTTTCGGGCACGGGACAAAATTCGGGCAACGGTCACCAAAATTCGGGCAATGGTCACAAAAAATTCGGGCAATTCGGGCACAAATTCAGGCAGATTCGGGCAGCTTCGGGTATTGCCGGAAAATTCAAAAAAAATCCGGCGAACGGCGGGGGACGGCTTCTCCACGGCGGTGGGCTGTCGGGGAGCTTACTCTTTCGGGCTACCCGAGCCCGTGCCCGAAGAAAAGCATTTTCGGGCGGCGAGAGGGGCCTGCCCGCCGTGCCCGAAAATTTTCGGGCACCGGGCAGGCCCGCCACCCGAAAGTTCAGCAATGATTGTGACTGAAAATGGCCATAACTTTTATTCTACATATCATTACTGGGCCTATAATATACCAAATCAAAGCTATTTTTGAGCTCTACAATCATGGTAGGGCATAGCCCGCCAACCCAATTTTTTGGGCCAAAATTCACTTGTTTTCATCAGTTTCGGAGGAAAAAAATCGGAGAACTGTGACTGAAAACAGCCCTAACTTTTTATTTACAAATCGGTACTGGGCCTATAATATACCAAATCGAAGCTTTTTTTGAGCACAACAATCATGGTAGGGTGTAGCCTGCCAACCCGATTTTTCGGGCCAAAATTCACTTGTTTTCATCAGTTTCGGAGGAAAAAAATCGGAGAACTGTGACTGAAAAAAATAATAACTTTTTATCTACAAATTGTTACTGGGCCTATAATTTACCAAATTGAAGCACTTTTCGAGCTCTATAATCATGGTAGGGCATCGCCCTCCAACCCAATTTTTTGGGCCAAAATTCACTTGTTTTCATCAGTTTCGGAGAAAAAAAATCAGAGAACTGTGACTGGAAACGGCAATAACTTTGTATCTACAAATCGTTACTGGGCCTATAATATACCAAATCGAAGCTCTTTTCGAACTCTACAATCATGGCAGGGCGTAGCCTGCCAACCACATATTTCGGGCCAAAATTCACTTGTTTTCATCAGTTTCGGAGGAAAAAAATTGGAGAATTGTGACCGAAAACGGCGATAACTTTTTATCTAGATATCATTACTAGGCATATAATATACCAAATCAAAGCTCTTTTCCAGCTCTATAATCATGGCAGGGCATAGCCCTCCAACCCAATTTTTCAGGCCAAAATTCACTTCTTTTCATCAGTCTCGGAGGAAAAAAATCAGAGAACTGTGACTGAAAACGGCCACAACTTTTAATCTAGATATCGTTACTGAGCCTATAATATACCAAATCAAAGCACTTTTCGAGCTCTATAAATGGCAGGGCATAGCCCTCCACCCCTATTTTTCGGGCCAAAATTCACTTGTTTTCATCAGTTTCGGTGGAAAAAAATCGGAGAACTATGACTGAAAATGACCATAACTTTTTATCTACAAATCGTTACTGGGCCTATAATATACCAAATCGAAGCTCTTTTCGAGCTCAACAATCATGGCGAAGCGTAGCCCGCCAACCCAATTTTTCGGGCCAAAATTCACTTGTTTTCATCAGTTTCGGTGGAAAAAATCAGAGAACTGTGACTGAAAACGACCATAACTTTTTATCTACAAATTGGTACGGGGCCTATAATATAGCAAATCGAAGCTTTTTTCGAGCTTAACAATCATGGTAGGGTGTAGCCCGCCAACCCAATTTTTCGGGCCAAAATTCACTTGTTTTCATCAGTTTCGGTGGAAAAAATCAGAGAACTGTGACTGAAAACGGTCATAACTTTTTATCTACAAATCGTTACTGGGCCTATTATATACCAAATCAAAGCTCTTTTCGAGCTCTACAATCATGGTAGGGCATAGCCATCCAACCCAATTTTTCAGGCCAAAATTCACTTGTTTTCCTCAGTTTCAGAGAAAAAAAATCAGAGAACTATGACTGAAAACGGCCATAATTTTTTATCTACAAATCGTTATAGTGCCTATAATATGCCAAATTGAAGCTCTTTTCAAGCTCAACAATCATCGTAGGGTGTAGCCCACCAACCCAATTTTTTGGGCCAAAAGTCACTTGTTTTCATCAGTTCGGAGGAAAAAAATCAGAGAACTGTGACTGAAAACGGCCATAACTTTTTATCTCGATATCGTTACTAGGCCTATAACATACCAAATCAAAGCTATTTTTGAGCTCTACAATCATGGCAGGGCATAGAACGCCAACCCAATTTTTCGGGTCAAAATTAACTTGTTTTCATCAGTTTTGGAGGAAAAAAATCGGAGAACTGTGACTGAAAACGGCCATAACTTTTTATCTACAAATCGTTACTGGGCCTATAATATACCAAATCGAAGCTCTTTTCGAGCTCAACAATCATGGCAGGGCATAGCCTGCCAACCCAATTTTTCGGGCCAAAATTAACTTGTTTTCATCAGTTTTCTGGGAAAAAAATCGAGGAACTGTAACTGAAAACGGTCAAAACTTTTTATTTAGATATCTTTACTGGGCCTATAATTTACCAAAACGGAGCTCTTTTGGAGCTCTACAATCAGGACAGGGCATAGCCCGCCAACCCAATTTTTCAGGCCAAAATTCACTTATTGTCATCAGTTTTAGAGGAAAAAAATCGAAGAACTGTAACTGAAAACAGCCATAACTTTTTATCTACAAATCGTTACTGGGCCTATAGTATACCAAATCAAAGCTCTTTTCGAGCTCTAGAGTGCTTTGAAGCTTGATATGAGCAAAGCTTATGATCGTGTGGAATGGATTTTTCTGAGGCGAATGATGGAGAAGTTGGGTTTTGATAGCCGTTGGATTTCACTAGTCATGAAACGACAACGAGCTTCTCTTCTCTTCTCTTATAAACGGTGTTCCAATGGGGGAGGTCCGAGCTCAGAGAGGGCTAAGGCAAGGATGCCCTCTATCTCCATATTTATTTTTGCTTTGTGTGGAGGGATTGACGGTGTTGATAAAGGAGGCAGAATTGGACGGGGCTATTACGGCCATGGCTTGCTCTCGGAAGACCAAAGGTTAGTCATTTGTTTTTCGCCGATGACAGCCTTGTGTTTTGTAGAGCTGATTTGGAAGAGTGTTAACATAAGGGAGGTATTAAGGCGGTATAAGATAGCTTCCGGCCAAAGTATTAATTTTCAAAAGTCCTTCGTTACTTTTAGTCCTAATGTCTCGGAAGATACTAGGAGAGCAGTTCAGGAGGTTTTAGAACTCAGTTCTGCACGAGCCCATGATCGTTATTTGGGGCTGCCTACGTTGATAGGGAGGAATAAAAAGGAGACATTTGGAATGATTAAGGAACAAGTGGGGAAGAAGGTGCAACAATGGAAGGGGAAATTGTTTTCTCAAGATCACTCATCCCTTGGAGAAGCCCATGTGCTAGTCACGAGACAACAACTTTCTATTTAACTCATCAATTGAAGTGCCTTTGCCACACCCACACGCCAATTGCCATTTTTTGTCCAAAGCACTGCAACCCGTTCGTTAATTGTTAATTTGTTTGATTACAACCCAAGTTTTTGCTACAGTATCTTCTTATAAAAATTTAAATTCAATTTTTTATGTTCAAATATTTTTTTTCACATTAATTCACTTTTCAAAAGTTAAAAACTCGAAACAACGAAATGAACTAGACTTCAAAAACAAGAAATTTAAGTAGCATACCACAACTTATATAACAGGGGAAAAGGTGAACAAGTGAAGGAAAAAAAAAAAGCGAGAGGAAAAAAGGTCAAAACAAATTGATCTAAGATACACTAACCATGATTTACATTCAAAAAAGGAGTGGGAGGAAAAAACTGCACATACAACTGGTAACAGGAGAGATATTAGTACTCCACTCATATATACAAATCCAAGTAACGTACGCTCTCGCTCTCCCAATATGTATTGTCTTGTTCAACTCTTTTTTTTGCTTTACACAGACTTCATATATTAAGTAAGTTCTCCTCTGAGGGCACTAGTAGCCCTTTGGATGGCTCTGGCAACCCTCCAGACTTCATGCTGAATTATAGCCTTCTTCTGACTCAAACTCATTCTAGTTGTTCTAGATATTGCATCTGCTATTCCAGGAAAGAAGTCTAGTTTACTTTCTGGGTCACTAGAAGGCCCATATATCTGTAAAAATAGGACAAAAACGACAAGGTGAGCTCAATGCGATTTAGCTATGTACAAGAAACTGAAATGTGAAAAGTGGTCATATTGCCACCAACACTAACTCAGAGCTAGAGGGGAAGACTTACAAGATGCTTGAACCATCGTCTTCCTTCGAGTCCATCTGTGTCGAGGAAGCCTCTTTCGGCAAATATCAACCGGTCGTTTAATGCCCGCTTCTTCAATACGACCAGTTCACTTGTAGTTTCTTGCTCTCTGAGTTTCTGCACTTTGAAAAGAACAATAATAAAATAAAACATAACCAAGGCCATCCTCCATTTTTTTTTTTTTCTTTTTTTTTTTACAGAACAGGAAAAAAAAAGGACCTTCTGAAGAGATAACTCATCCAGAGAATTCCAATAACTTTTACTTGATGTACCTGTGTTTCAATTTCTGCTTCTTTGGCTGCAGAGGCAAAATCTTGAATTGATGTGGATAGAGGAGAAAGAGAAACAAGTCCACCCAATAAGTTGCTCAAAACCTCTTTATGCCTCTGAAAAGAAAGCAAAATGAAATAATTTTATATTTAGCCAAAATGTCATCACCGATAACTTCCTTAATTACTTTTTTTTTCCCCCATTATTTCCGCCTTTTTCATCATATTATTCAATAATATCAAATGAGTGTCGTGGATCTAAATCTTGCCCACTGTGTGCATGACTTTGAGTTTAACAAAAAGTTGTGACTTTTGGAAATTTGGATGGTCCAACTCCCAGCTTTCGATCGAACTCAGACTAGGACACAAAATCACATGAAAGGCAAATGTTTCACCATGATGGGAGAAGGAGATTCATAATTCTGGAAAATTTATGGAAACTTATTTATTCATTTACCAGTATTCAAACTCGAACAAAGGAAGCTCAAGTTGAAACTGCACAAACAAGAAAAGTAAAAAGAAAATAGAAGACTCAAACTACTTCGAAGTGACTCAGCATAAGTAACAGAAGATGATAGCCAAAAATATATACCTTTAGCTGCTCTGCATAAGAGATATAGTTAAAAGGCAGAATTGGATCATCAGCAAGGTGAAGAGCTAGAAGTCCCCAGACTCCAGCAACTGAAAATATACAAATCAGATAAGTACCATAAAAACGTGTAATTGGATTTTAAACTTCAAATCACCAATATATTTACAAAAAGAAAGCTTACCAGCCACATGGCGCTTGAAAGAAGGATCTCCATAATTTATCATCCAGTCATAGGAGTCAAAAGCAGTGTGATATGTGGGAAAATCTGTAAAACAAAGATTCATCAGCATCACGGAATATGTGTCAAAACATTATACTCTCGAATGAACCGTGCCAGGTTACAGCAGCCAGGATTCATGAGCAAAACTGTACCGATCATGAAAGAAATAATTCAAAGTGTTCTGTGGCATGCTGAGAATTAGGCCGGGTGGATAATTCAATGACCGAACATGGGGAAGAAAGCAAGAGGAGAGCAAAATGGATCTTTTGCAATGGCAGCAGGATAATTGAATGCATGGCACATAGGAGACCAAAATGTTCATTAATTTGTGAAGTATACTCATTCCAAATGCAACAGGTATAAAATAGACCCAAGCAAATCAGAAAACACAAGACATATAAGTGAAGGCCGTTCGAGATCCTCTAAAAAAACCACTTAACAGTGGACAGCCTGCGACGGAAAACTTTTGTTTGGGATGTGCATTTTTGCAGGCACATACAACGAAAGCATCTGTCTATACACCCAATTTACCCACACAGACATGCACATTAAGAGCTACTGTTCTGCTCAATTAAGTTTGATGGAAAAATAATCATCTGCAAAAAAATGTTGACTCAAAATTCCGTCAACCCAAATATAAGTAATTTACCTGCTCCATAATACATATCTACAGATGGAACTCCAGCATGTTGCACAAATGCAGCAAAATCAGAATCCACTCTTCCGAGTCTCTCTATCTGCCTCGCAGAGTGAAATTCACAAGACTTAAGTACAGCAGATAATATGCATATGCAGTGAGAAAGGCAACTTACTTGTAAAGCAAGAAAATTAATTTCAAGTCAGTGGAAGTCTCTAGTCCATTGACTATGGATAAATACTTAAAATGATGTTGGATTTCTACTAAAAGTAACATCAAGCAGTAAGGTAACAACAAGTTGAGTGTGTGACGTACATATTATATTATATAGGTATCATGCATTATGCTTGTATTATGTATAATAAATTGAATTTGTTTGCATCAAAGAACTTCATATATTGTTTTAGAAAAATAAGTAACTGTCCATAGTTAACTTACATTATTCTCACTATTTCTAGATGCCCATTTCTGATACATTGTCTCGCCCTCCGAATCAGGATCTTCAACCTGAAATTGCTTGGAGAGCAGTCGATAATTATTACTCAAAAACAAGGCCTTCATAGAACCAATCATGTATTTACTGCTTTTTTGTTTTACCTTCTTTATGACTTCAAGAAGAAGGTTATCTAGTTGAGGAGTAGCACCAGCAAAGAACCCTGGTCCTTGAACCGCACAATCAACATTAAGGTACGCAACAGCTTTGGATCCCAAATTTACAAGGTTTTGTTCGACCCACTCCGTCGATCCAATCTGTGGACAGGATAGAGTACATAATTAGCATTAGATCTCAATGAATAAATGAACTACTAGAAGCAATTGTTTCTATGATAAGCTGACTTCCCATGACTTTTTCTCTGACTTTGTCACTGGGTTCGACATCTATAAGACATTAGAAGAAACAACAGTAGAGCATCAGACCCTCCATTTTGGAATATCTGAAAACCAGCAAGGTGTAATTTCAAAATTTATGACAGTTTTACCAATTCTTTTCATGGGTTTGGACTTTGACGGGCACACGGATCAGTAACAGGGCAACAAATTGCAACAGTTGGAAAGCCAAAGTGCAATCAGACGAAAGAAACAAGGAACAACTACACTATTTCTTTAACATTTGCACAACCTTCTTTAACTACACTATTTCTGCCTAAAGAACAACGCATAACAAGGACAACTGCATAGCCTTTCCAAAGACAGCATGAACATAAACAGAATCATTTTCCTACCATTCCAAACTCTTCGGCATCCCAACTGCAGAGAACGATAGTCCGTCGAGGCCTCCACCCCGACCTCATCATGAGAGAAAATCGACGAGCAATGTCGAGTAAGGCTGCAGTTCCACTATTGGGGTCAACCGCCCCATAGGTCCATGCATCTCTGTGGTTTCCAAGTAGCACATACCGTTCAGGCTCTTCTAACCCTTTTATGACAGCGAACACATTGTGAATCTTCACCACTTTTTTCTCTCCCTAGATTCCAAAGATTAGAAAGGTTTAACAACCACAAACACATGAAAAGAGAGAGAGAATTGTCTTGTCAAGGAAATATGCCCAAAAAAAAAAAAATGCTAGGGAATAGTATCATAAACCAATCAAGAGAAAATAAATTTCCAAATCCAATTAAGCAATTCCCTATGTTCCCCTAAAGTTCATTAGACACATTCCCATAACTAGTCACAACATGAATTTTTCTAAAATTGCCCACGACATTAGAATCAAAAACTTGTCAAAAATTACTCCTTTTCTATAACTCAACCAGGCAAAATCATGTTCATTCACTAAAATAAACTACCACCTAAAAAGAGAAAAAGAAAAAATACACATTTTTTCCTATAAAAGTGTCAATGTTGCAACTGAATTAACCATCACAGGAAGAAAGAACCCACTTCCCAACTGCCGTATCCTATTTGACTTGGAACAAAGAAAAAAAAATAAAAAAAAAGTCAAAGCCCTCAATGACCCAATCAAGATCTCTCCCTTTTTTACCGCAATATTTGACAAAAATCCAATACCAACCTGGTAATCAAAGTCAACGAGTGTCGGACCCGGTCCGACATGGTCAACCTTCAAGTCCAGCGCGTCCCTCCACTCGCTCGGCGTCGGCGCGCCGCCTAGCGACTCGAGAATGACCTCAGCATCGTCAACCGACAGCGGCAGGGACGGAATCTTAGGGAACCTTCCAGAAACTTCGTCATCACCGAGGCCCAACTTCTCGCCACCCTCAACCCCGGCCCACCCGGGACTGAGTGGGTCCCCAAGCCCCCTCATCACCGTCCCCCTCTCGAACCCCTTCCTAAACCTATCCCCCCCGGTATACAATAGCACCGCAACGGCACCGTTTAGCGCCGCCCTCTCCACCACCGCCGCCCTCGGAAGTCCGCCGCCTTTCCTCGCGATCACCACGCAGCCGCTAACGTTCACCCCCATCCCCCCCAGCGCACGATAGTCCTCCTCCCTCCCGAAGTTCACGAACACCGCCATCGCCCCACGCGCCGTCCCCGACGGCGAGTACGCGTGGTACGGCCTCACGACGGCGTCGTTTCCGTTTCCGCTTCCGCTACCGGTTGACTCCGACAAGGGGAATACCAACTCGGTGCCGTTGCTAAAGTGCGCCGAGAGGGAGGAGTGCGTAGGATAAGAGAGCAGCGCGTCGTAAGCCACCGCGTGGGCTCGTAAGCCGAGGGAGGTGAAGTGGTTGAGGACGTAGTGGGTGGTGCGAAGGGAGGGTTTTGTTCCGGCGAGGTGAGGGTGCAGGGTGAGGTCGCGGAGGTAGGCGGAGAGGGTGAAGTTGGTGGCGGCGGAGAGGAAGAGGCGGAGGGCATTTTGGGAAGTTGAGAGCGGGGGTGCAGAGTGGGCGTAATGCAGGGTGTAAAAACCCAGAATGCAGAGGATCACGATGAAGAGAAACGTGTAGAGAGGCCGTGGTGGCTTTGTGGATGCCGCCGTCGGTACCGGTGGTTTGGACCAGAGCTGAGCCATTCAAAGAATGAAGAGAGAGAAAGAAGGGAGAGAGAGAGAAAGAAGATTTGAAGAATCGGTTCTTGGTGTTCTTGGTTTTGTTGTTGTTAGTAGCAGAGTAAAAGAGAGAGAGGTGAGTGGAGAAATTATTTTTTGTTTTACGTTAAACGTTATATTTGTTCTTTTCATTTCTTTTTTTTTTAATATCATAGTACATGTAGGTGGTACTAAGCTTTTGATGATATTTTTATGGTTTAATAATATATTGTAGCGCCAAAAGTGATGTCATCATTTGTGATGTTACTTTATTTATTTTTTCGGCACTGCATTGCATTTGTGATGTTTCTTACCGATGCATAGGCGGCTTTCGGGCGGAGCAGTGCTGTTTTGCAAAAAGACAGGTTTGAAAAAAAAAAAAAAAAAGACACTCAAATCAAGAGCGCTCATAACAGTGGGCGGGACGGTTTGAGCCGGACGGGTGACGGACGGTTTGAGCAATTTGAACCTTATTAGGTATTTATTAATAAAAGCATAAAATAACTTTTGTTGTACGTTATAACTGCATCTTAAAAACAACAGTTATCAATTTATTATATTTTTTTAAGCTATAAAAAAATCATCAACGTAATACGAGAATTCGAATTAATTCGTTCCAGTATTTTTTTTTTTAAATTATAAATTTATAAATTAAACGTTCAAAATATGATTAATATTTTATAATTTATGCTTAATAATAATTACGGGCCACTTTCAACCGCCGTTAGAAGGGAAGGTGCGGTTTTGATAAACCGCGATTTAGAAACAACCCAAACTAGCACCGCTGGATATGCATGACGGGATAGGTGATTTGAAACATGTTTGCATGATTTTGATCAACTGATTATACTATGACAAAGAATGGGGTATTTGTATTTTAATTACAAACCGTGATATTTTGGGGTGTTCTTTTTTCAAATACAATGAGAAAGGAGAATTTTTTTTATTATAAAATTTTCTCTTACCTAAAAAATTAAAGTTGTGAAAAAAAGCAAACCACCAACTTTAAGCAGCAAAATCTGCATGCAAGTGTGATCAAATATCTTATGGTCCTAATGTCCCATGGATGTGATTTAAAGAAACTTTAGTGAGTTTGGCCAAGGAACAAAGAAAGGAACAACAACAAAAAAACAAAAGCATGGGCCGGTTGTGCGAGATATGCAGATCTAAGTATTGAAAGAACCTGAAAATGTGACAGACTGACACTTCTCTTACGGGTGGGATGAAAAAGTTTAGGAGCACTGTATCTAATGTAATGTTATTCCCAAAAGTTGGGCCCACTACAAAGCATGAAAGGGTCCCACTATGTTTCCACAAGAATATTAACGCATGAATGCCCATGGTGGTTTTGCTTTGCTGTGCTTCAGTGTGATGACAAAGGACGTTAAGAGATCAATCTTGGAGTACGACTTGCGACTCTCAAATCAAATTCTTGAAGGTTTCATAAAATAATAATAAATAAATAAAAAGGTTTTTGGCACAATTATCTCTTAAATTTGTTGTGATTTAACAAATCACTTCTTAAATTTTTAATTTTGACAATTATCTTCCCAACTTATAAATTTATTACAATGTGCTCCCATTTAACTAAATTTATTCGAATTTTTTATTAGATTTAATAGATTAAAAATTAATATATTAAAATATTTATTTACATTTAAATTTAAAAGTTAAAATTTTTTGTCGAACGTATTTTTTTGACACTAATTTAACATAATTATAGTTAAAATAAGATATATTATAATAATTTTATAAATTAAAAGTGTAACTTACTAAAATTAAAAATTTAGGAAATAATTTATTAAACTATGATAAGTTTACTTGACAAATATGCTAAAACTCCCAAAAAAAATAATCAAATTCTTAAAGGGGGAAAAATCAACTAAAATTCGAGAAAATGTAATAGCATCGTAGCCATGCTCATTGGTGTGGTGTCCGTCTCTATGGGAGTTTTGGAACCGTCCAATTTTCGATATTCTTTTTAATTGTCATAATTTTTTTCTTTCTATTTTTCTGGTTAAAATACATACAAATGACAATATTTACGTCATTAGTCAAAAACTCATATGACGTGCTAGTTTCCATAAAATAAAAAATGAAAATAAAAAGTTAACACAGCTATTCAGTGTGGTAATTTATAGTGAATTTATAATTTACGGATACAAATTTTCAACATTTAAAATTCAAAGGGACAAACTGCAATTGTGCGATGAATTCATGGAGTAATTTTAGTGACACAATGCTTGTCACCAAAGTGTTGTTAGTATTTTTTTTTTTCTTTTTAAGTGTTGCTAAAAAAAAAAATAATAATAATGTTAGTTTGAAAGGTAAAACGTGATGCATGACATATTGACATGCATCTAACTTATCCGGAAAAGAAACGATTGAGCTAGGAACATGTAATAGGGTAATGTCGTTGTAATTTGTGAATGTGGAGTTACGTATATAAGAGTTGTTCTGCTGACATTTCAGTATTGCTCCACGTGTCATAAGGTACAACTTTTGTGAGCGAACCCATGAGTGGTATGGTGGTCGGAGCGATGTAGACATGTAGTCGTGGTTCTCTCTGTAGTGGGGCTCACTTGCTTTCCGGCGGTTGCTGGTGACGGTGTGCGGTCTCCTCACTTTGGAGGCTCGGCCCTATTCTGCGTTCGGGCTCGCTTGCTATGTTGCAGTTTCCTTTTTAACTTTTAACAGCTGTTGGCTTGTAATCAGAGATCCGGTCAGTATTGTTTGGCCTTTTTCCTATTTTTGTGTTAGTCAAATAAAGGCGTTGATGTTTCTGCCGATTAGTTTTAGCGTATGTTGGCTGTTTTGTTAGTTTTTCATTGTAATAACGGAGGTAGTTTCCTTACCTTCTTTTGTAGGCTTTTTGTCTAATCCGCAAATCTGTTTCTTTTGCGGTGTTGTGGTAGGCCTTGGTGTCTTTGGTCTCTTAATCTCGTTTGATCGAAATTACCAACTAATTTTAGTGGTGTGTTTAGAAGAACTATATGTTTGCTCGAATTGTTGTGTGCCTCTTCAGTTTCCGCTTATTAGAACTCGGTACTCATATTACTCTCTTGAGTGTTTCAATTGAATTTACTGGTAATTCTAATCTATGGGTGGGGTTGAGTCGCTAATTGTGTTGAGGTATTTTACGTCAGAATTAGTGTGTAATTCTTTGATTTAGAATGCAATTTCTTTTTTTGAAAAAAAAAAAACAGTTGTATTTCCTTATTGCCCCACATGTCATAAGGTATAACTTTTGTGAGAGTGTAGCATCAAACTAATCATAGTTGAGAGCAAACAAAAAGCAAAGCTTTTCATGAATTGCTAATCTCAAATAATTTTAGTCCTCAGTCACAATTGACCCTTTTTAGACTTGGAATTTGGATGTCATCTCACTGAGACCAATCATATCCTTTGCTTGAATCCATACTAATTTTGACTAAGTTAATTAGACTTCTAAACATCAAGACAATATTTAGCAAAAGAAAAAAAAACAAATAAACATCAAGACAATATGTCAATTCTAATGTCTTCTTTGAGAACTGCACTCCTTTTTATTTGATTATCTTACATTTTTCATGGTAAACTTGATTATCTTGAATCATAAAGAGAGAGAGAAAAAAAAAGTTAACTGTTGTTAGCCTCTTAGTAGGAGTGGAAGAAATGATCAATCCATTATTTAGTTGGAGAGAACTGAAAAGAGAAAAAACGAGGGTAAAATTAAGAGTTTGCTTCAAGCCTACTGAATCCATCTTTAGCTGCTTAGCTTTTAAGGATTTAAGGAATACATTCAATTTTTAAAAAAATTATAATATATTTTACCCTCCAAAAGTTATGAACATTTAATTATGGGCAATATAATAATTAGTTAGATAATTATATTTATTTTGGACATGTTTGTTTAATCGTATTAAAATACCGTATTGTATAATAATACAATAATACAATGTTTGGTGTGACTATCATATTGTATAAATTAATACGGATGATAAATTAATATGGTTTATATCGTATTATTGAATACGACTCATTTTTAACGTATCGTATTGTATTATTCTATAATGGATCTATGATTTATGTCGGGATTGGGCATGACTAAGGATCAGAGTTTAGCCGACATAGAGTCATGCCAGAGCCTATAATTGTTTAAAAATTAAAGGGGCATAATGCAAGTTTATATTTGTAAAAATTAAATTTTGACCCCTTATTTTTTACAAATTTACATTTTGACCCTAATATTATAGAAAATTATATTTTGACCCTAAAACTTTTAGAAAATTATATTTGGACCCCAAAAACTTTTAAAATTTACATTTTGACCCAAAAATTTTAAGATTTTACATTTAGCCCCTTGTACAATATGTTATGACACCAAACAATGTATTGTATTATGATAATACAACACAATACAATATAATAAAAGTTACTAAACATGACTTTTATGTACTATTCCTCCCTCCTATCACAATATGAAGGGTTATCATAATTTTTTATGTATTTTGCATTCTTTATTCTTTTAACTCGTTTCAATTTTTTTACTATGTATCTCTCTAACCAAACAAAGCACTTATACACTCGGGACATGTTTGGTAGCTTGTATTGTATAAAGTGTATTGTATTGTGTTGTGACGACCCTGCTGAGTTGGTCGTCACTGTAACTAACTTTAACATAATATTTTTGAAACTCCCAAAATTAGAGAGATTTTTTTTTAAAATGCTACCTAGAATGCTGCAACATTTTTTTTAAATGTTGTAGCATTCTTTTTTTTTAAATGCTACATAAAATGTTGTAGTATTTTCTTTAAAATGTTGTAGTATTTTCCTTAAAATGCTGTATAGAATGTTGTAGCATTCTGAGCATAAATTTCTTTCTCTTAAAGAACTATATCATTTTTTCTAAATTTACTATAATGACATAATTTTGCTAGCTTACACAAACTTAGCATTAGGCTACAAACTTCCAAAACACAAGTTCATAGACATATTCAACAAAATATTTTTAAAATTTTAAACTATTGCGGAAATGATTGTGTGCGGTATCCCATCCCCAACCTCCACTCCGCTCGTCTGCTGCCTCGCCATTAGTCCATCAAACATTATGTGCATGTTGCTTACCTAC